ATATACCTTAAGGATCAATTCTGAAAATTTGAAATTCTCTCTCTCTCTTTCTCTCTCTCTCTCTCTCTCTATATATATATATATATATATATATATATATATATTAATATTTGTTTTTTTGTTTTTTTATTTTATTTTTCAAAAATTTGATAACATTTTTTACCTTGTTGACATTTTGTTTTTCTATTTTTTTATACTTTAATTAGTTATGATATTTCTAATTTTTTTATTTTTTATTATTTTTTTTATGGTTAATATAATGTTTTTATAAATTTGATCCATAGTAATATATATACTCTAATACAGAAAAAATATCATAAATGATCCATGTGGTTTTCCTAAATCTAAAGTTTAGTACCTGCGGATTAAAAACATCATAGATGGTCCATGTGCTTTCAAAACTATTGATGATTGGTCCTTATTGCTAACTTTGTTAAGTTTTGTTAAGTTTTGTCCGTTGACTGAAGGGCATTTTTCATCATTTCACTACCACAAGGACCATTTATGATGTTATCACTTATTTCAAAAAATGAAATAATATGCGAAAGGGGTCCCACCTTCTCTCTCTCTCTCTCTCTCTCTCTCTCTCTCTCACACACACACACACACACACACGCATCGCATTTATATGCTGCCCTAACCAACATTAGACTCGCATGTTATTCATTTTTTTAGGAAGAAAGTTAACAAAAAATGATGATCACTAAAATATTCAACTCAATATGTGTGGTTATGTTAGGACGAACACGATGTGTGTGTGTGAGAGAGAGAGAGAGAGAGAGATACAGATGGGACCCCTTTTGCATATTAATAAGTGAAAGCATAATAAATGTTCTCTATGGTAGTGAAATGATGAAAATATCATTCAATTAACGAACAAAAATTAATGGAATTAGCAATAATGATCAATTGTCAAAAGTTTTGAAAGCACATGAACCATATATGAAATTTTTAAATCACATGGACTAAACTTGAAATCTGGAGAAACCACATCGACCATTTATAATGTTTTTTCTCTAATATATTCATACATTTTATACTTTTTTTTTAAATTCGTATTATTTGTAATTCTTTTATGTATTTTAATTTTTTTTTCGTTTTTTTCTTTTTATATTTCATCAATTTGATAACGCTTTTATTATATTTTACAAAAAGAGTAAAATGTTTTAATATATTAGAGTTGGATAATTGTATAAAAACTCAACATGTTTTCATAAAAGTCTTAAAAAAGCCACTATATTATTTTTTTGGACGTTAAAACCCTTATATTTTTTAAAATGTATTGTTTAATGCATTAAGCTCGATAAGTCCTAGATAGCAAAAAATGTTAGGTTAACGTTTCTATTGTTACAGTTCATTATATTAAAAAAAAATTAAAAATATGAGGGTTTAAATGCACTAAAAATAATATAATTGTTTTTTTTAATCCTTTGATGAAAATAGATTAGGTTTTTCTGAGGTAGAAAACCTTCAATAAGAATTTTAGAAAATATAAAGGTTTTAGTGTACTAAAAAATAATATAATGTTTTTTTAAGCATTTAATGAAAATACGTTGATTTTTTCCGAGGTTTTCCAAATTAGAGTATATTACATTTTTTATGTTCGAGTGTTTTTTTGGTTTAGCGCATGTGTTCATTATCTCCATGATTTCCATTACTTCCTGGTTTTCATCTAGGACTTCTATTTTTTGTTGTTATATAAATTGTTGTATGTTATGTTAATGAAAATGAAGAAAATTTGATCCAAGTTCAAGTATGTTCATCTTTATTCTTTGGCGACTAGCCATCTCGAATTGGCATTAGCTTGGGGAGATTGACCACTTCGAATTGGTCTCTATCAATTATTGTTTTCATTCTCATCCTCGCAATGCCTCCCCAATTCCATTCTCTACCGAGCCTTGAAGAGTCTTTTGCCACGATAGCATACCAATCGACTCAAGTTTTTATAACTATCGCCAACAACAACCGTCTCGATGCCATCATCGCTAAACAATTGAGGCTGCAACAATCATCGATAACGTCTGGATCCAAAGCAAATAATAATAATAACCAGAAAAGTGACCCCCGCATTGCGGGGATCGTAAAGTGTCGCTTTAGTGTGGAAGTATAGTACATTGTTCTAATTTGTAGCTATAGTAAAGTATGTTGCTATTGTCTACGTTTTGCCCATTTACAAATACACAAATATAATGTAGTATGCTATAATATAATGACCCCTTTGTGTTGCAAAGTAAATAGCAAGTGCGGCAGCAACACCCTGTTAAAAAAAAGTAAAGTATTACCTCTCGAATATTAAATAAAGCAATAGGTAAGGCTAGGTTATGGCCAATATGAATACCTTAGCAATTTGTCCCTATGCTCGGTCAATGACAAAATCTATTCTTTGGAGCTGAAAAAGAAACCAACATGAGTTTCATTATCGAAGGAAGCAAAACTATAAAATATTTAAAATTTTAATATAGAAAAAAATAAGTGTATTCATGATTTGTTCAAACCTTTTGGCCCATTAGGAGAAGGTTTTAAGATATTTTGCAGTGTAAGAATCTTTCGTTCAGCTAGAAACTCAAAGACTTGCCATGGATAATATGGTGATCTAACAATTTGTGTATGATATTAACTTTCTCACACTTTCTAATACTTACCTTATGAAGCTTTCCTAATGTTGGAATCTTAATGAACTCGTATCTATGATGTCTCTCATTAGGTTGTGTAACATTTGTAAACCTGTAAATTCAATAAATAAAAACAAAACAAAATAATAAGGATTTTAATGATTAATAAGGATCACATAACCATCTGTATTTAAAAAAAAACATTTTGTTTCGTATGTCTACACAACCAAGGCATGTTGATGGCTGATGCAAATTCCAAAAACAGGAACGTTTCCAATAATGCCCTTCACCATCTTAACGAATCTAGTACGTACGTCTATTTTATATTATTATGTGATTTAAAACAAATAGGATGATTCGGTTTAAAAAAAAAAAAAAAAAAAACAATACAAAAATCAAAAGTTATATGAAGCAATCTAACCATTTGGAGGTGAAACGACTGCCCCGAAGCAACCCATCTAACATTGTTGCAGATCGAAGAGACAAAATGCTTGATGGAATTGGACTGTAGCATGTAAAAAGGGTTTATTAAAAAAAAGTTAAAAAAAAAATAGTTATAAGAAAAGTAGCCACATACCCATTTTCGCCAAATGCATACTCCATGGATTTGTTTAATTTCTTTAATAATGCAATTTCCACGGCCCTTGAAGCTTGTCTTCATCAAGAAATCATTCAAATTTCTTTCTCACATTTTTCAATTTTCTTGCTCATCCACCTAACCAATTCAAGGGCAACATGGGTTATCAAGTTTACCATATTTTTAGATTATGAAAATTTGTCAAAACTCACTGAATATCAAATAAATTCCTTTTTTCTACATTTAAACTTAGGACCAAATACTATTACTTGTACCATTTTATCGTTATGATAAAAATGGATTTATGCATCAAACAAACTCTGCAATCAAAATAATCAATAAATTCTCAATTCAAAACTTCAAAAAACTATGCAAAACAATCAACAAAAACAAACAACATCAACCTTGAAATCATACCCTGCATCGATCTTTTAACCTGTGATTAACCCCTTGAAGTGAAACCAAGAAATTGTACACACGTCTGCATTAGGATGTACAGAGTTGCATTTAAACAAACAACATCCATGTTTAAACAGAACATTAATTTACATATGGAAAGTATTATGTTTAACCTTAGAAACAAATAAATTTAGCCATAGACTTGTGCTTTAAGGCAACCCTAACAGAATAATCATTAAAAGTTACAAAAAAAAACTCAAAAAAGCAAGTGAAAAATTTCTTATGATATTCATGTTGGAAACACAATAATTATCCATAGATGCAATTAGCCAAATTTTAAAAAAAAAAAAAAAAAAAAAAAACTACCAAAATACGAAATTCATTTGAAAAGTTGAGTTACCTTCTGTATGAGGATCAACAATGAATTTTCTCATGTAGTCAATGAAGTTGGTCCCATTAAAATGATCCCCACCAATGGCTACACATGTGGATTGTCCTAGCCCAACAACAGTAGTTTGGTAAACCTATAACAAAATAAACAAAAAAATCATTCAAAAAGATGCATAGAATCAGAATGTTTTCCAAATTCATAATAAATGAATTAAACTCAACCCAATCCAATAAAGTGATATGAAATCCGTTTGTGAAATGATCAAGTACATCTAAAAGGAAGAGAAGAAAAACAGGAAAAGTGATTCGGGCATTTCATCAAATAGCTGGTGGCCACAACTTTATCCCCGATTGTAAACATCTTGGTTTTATGTGCATATCTCTACCATTCACGAATCTGAAACCATAAGTTTGCTCAATGTCTACCTCATATCCTTCATACCTTTCCTCTTCTTTAGTCGCTGATTCTTCTGCTCCATTGTTCGATGATGCCTACATACACACAAAAGAAAAAAATCTCCAAAATTCATAAGCTACGAATTGGTCCTACTCAAGTCCAAAACCAAAACCGGAAAGGAAATCAGGGGCGAGATAGTTAGAATCAAATAGAAGTGTAACCTTCTTTAAATCCGAAATTAGGAGTGAGATACCTGGAAGTCATAAATCGATGTTGAAACCCTTTCATTCTGAAATAAGACATCGATCCATAAGAGCCCTCTCGACCTACCAGGAAAACGCACCGCAAAACTCACAAACCCAGCTACAGTGACCACAGTCGAGTTATTAGGGAAGGACAGAGAGGCCATCAAGACGTCGACACTTCCGGCGGTCACCAATAAGGACAGCAACCGACGACGAAGCGGCGTCGTCAGCAGTCCGCTTCACCCGAACAGCCATGACATAATAAAACGACGACACATTGGGAAGAAAGCAAGCAAAATTACGATAGTAGAGGAATATTATCTAAGGGGTGTTTGGCTTAGCTTTTTAAAGCCAAAAGTTCTTTTTGGAAAAGAAAAAAAAAGCAAAACATGTTTGGCAAACTAATTTTATAAGCTACTTTTGAAGTTTTTACATAAGGAAAATGAACTTTTTGGAAAAGTTAGGAAATCCTGACTTTTTGTAACTTTTCCAAAAAGGACTTTTGGGGTTTGAAAAGCTAAACCAAACACCCCCTAAGAGAGAAATAGGGAGTGTAGCAGAGAAATGGAACCGGATGACGAACAAAAGGGAAAGACAAAGAAAAAGAAAGAAGGATCTGCAATTAAAAAGCAAAACAACAGGAAGAAGACACGTGGAATGGAGTAATATTTGACACGAAATAGGAACCCGATTATAAAAACACTATATATACTTATCTTTACCGATGGGAAGGAACATAAAGAAGATAACGAATGTAGTAAAGAATCACAAAGCAAAGTGGCAAATAAATGAAAATATAGGGACCCAGATGGTAACCACAGGGACCAATGGAAAATTTTTCACAATCTTAATATAATAATAATAATAATAATTGTCATATCTTGATGCCCTTATCACCGTCACCAAAAGCATCAATGTTGTTACCGTGCTTGCAAATAACACTGGAGTTTGCCTAACCACCATTGCAAACAACCCTGCCATCACCACCATTAACATCGTCGCCACCAGCCTCAATGAAACCACCATCTCAGTCACCCCATCACTAAAGTAACGACAACTGCCATTGACGAATACCTATGGACATATCCGACATCTCAACCTCTTTCCTCGTTTGTTTGACCATCAATTCCTCACCCTCTTTAGTCTCAACATTCACATACTCAACCTCAAGGACGATGTTAGTTTTAAGGGTGGAGGAATTGATACGTCCCTGAGGTTGTATCTAAGTCCGCCTCTATGGCGATGAAAGATACAATGCGTTAAATGAACAAGACATTTGTAACACTTTTTGTGATATATGAAATTATAACAGCCCGGATTTCCAGGTATTATTCATTCTTTCATTTTTTGGTATTTTGTCAGGAGACTCAGCGAGTTGGAGCTCGAACTCGCCGAGTAGGATCGTGATTTTGGACAAGGTTCGCGTCTGGACTCGGCGAGTCCACGCTGTTTAAAGAAACCCTAATTCCCCGGGTTTGGAGCCTATTTAAGGGCACTTATAGCCTCCCATTGCGGCTACCAGTCCCTTGAGAGAACCCTAAGAGAGCTAATTCGTTTTGGGAGAGAGGAAGTCACTTTTGGGCCTTTGTATTCTTTGTTTAGCAAGAGGAAGGTGGCAAGAGCAAGGAGGAGGTGAGATTACAGTAGATCCAGAGTCCAGATGCTTCATTTTGAGGTAAGGGTTTGAATCTCCTTCAGTTATAGGGTTTATCTTTAGAGTTAGGGTTTTATAACCCCTTGGAGAGTGATTATGAGAAGCAAATGGTCCCTCTTCGAGTTTGTGTCATGGATCTGGACTCAAAGAGGTCCAGAGACCTTAACCATTGGAGCTTTTTGGGTTATTATGGAGTCATTGGACCTAGGTGGTTATTTTTGGGACCAAATCACCTTTTGATGCCTTGTGGGGGTTATACAAACATCAAGTTTCGAACTTTACATGACATTCATGCTTGGGAAGGCCAGATCTAGGGTTTGGGAAAGCAGATCTGACCTCAGAAGGTCAATAAAAGTGTGTGCATGGCATGAACTCGCCGAGTTGTTCTTGGGACTCGGCGAGTAGGGTTGGGGTTTCACGTAATATGTTCAGTGAGTGGACTCGTCGGGTTAGGGGATAACCCAGTGAGTCAGGAAGAGTCAATATGGGGTTGAGTCAAGCCGGAACTCGCCGAGTTGTTCTTGAGACTCAGCGAGTTAAGTCGTGGTTGCCCCGCGATTCAAGCCAGGTGGTACTCATCGAGTTGGGGGAGTGCTCGACGTGCCAAGAAAAGATCCGAGGGAGTCAGTGAACGTGTTAGACTCGCCGAGTTACTTTGGTACACTCGCCGAGTCCGGTTAAAGTTGACCGTTGACCAGAGTTGACCAGTGTTGACTTGATAGGGTTAGTCAACCTTAGTTGTAAAAGTGTTAATTAGAGATATATTGTATTATAGGAAGATTATAGTTCGGGGGATCGAGCACGAGTGATTCCAGGGATTTACGAGTTATCGAGATACACGAGGTGAGTCTTCTCACTATACTTTACCTTGAGTAGGTAACTAGAGTTATGTGATACAGTGCTTGTATGCTATATATGTGTTATGTGTTGCGCTGCATTATTCTATGTGATTTATGTTGTGCATGTTTACATAGTTAGAACCTGAGGGTTCACAAAGTTTGGGTGCACGGACCCACAGAGTTATAGCCTCAAGTGGCTAATATGTGTTATATGTGGTATTTTGGGGAACTCACTAAGCTTTGTGCTTACAGTGTTTGGTGTTATTTGTTTCAAGTACTAGTGACGACCGTGGGAAGGCGCCGGCTTGATCAGTACACACACACAGGATTTTATGTTATGAGATCTTGGGATTTTTGTATGACATGAATTGTATTTCAAACATGGGTGTTTTTACGAATATTAAATGAATTATGTTTTTATAAAATGCGAAAAATTATTTTGAAATTTACGGTGTTACAGAAATGTGGTCACAATGCCTTGCATGAGTGCTTTTATATATATATATATATATATAAGAGTGTTATGAAAGAACTACCCTATGTTCTCTCTTGTCCTGGCCCAATCGGATTTTGGTTTATTTAACTAGGTTTAATCGTTTTTAATATAATTTTAAGCCAACTATAAACAAACAAAATAAAATTCAGTTTAATAGGTTTGGTTAATGGGATAAACAAAATAAAATTTTAATTATGGATTTTTTTTCTTAAGATAAAAAATTAGTAAAATAAACGAAATTACTGGTAATGAAATTTTCAGAAAAATCTCCTAAACTTTGATCTTATTAGCGAAAAATGTATTCCTTATTTTTTATTTACGATTAAGCCTGAAAAACCGCTAAATATAAATGTTGACCAGCTACAAGGACCATTTTACAAAAAAGTTTACTTGTTTCATAACAATTTACAAATCAAAATAATAGCATAAACATCAAAAGCATAAGAATTTACAAATCAAACAGTTATTTGTGTTGTTGGATATATAAGCCATTTAAAAAAAAACCAAAATTGATGTTACAGTATACGATATTGTAAATTAGGGATGAAAGTGTGTCCAAATCCGGACCAGATGGACAAGGACCCGGAACCGATTAACGGAATTTTGTACAACCGGAAACCGGACCCGTATATAGGAACTGGTTCCGGTTCGGTTTCAGGTATGATACCGGGTAAAGTGGGTATAGAACCATAAACCCCGAAAACATCAAACTGGGCAGGTTAGAACCGGATAAAGTTGGTTTAGAACCGGAAAACCTGAAAAACCGAAATTTTTTGGCAATTGCTTACTACTTAGTGGGTTGAACTTTAAAAAACTTTATATTGATATCCCGATTTCGGGAAAATTATAGTCTAAATCTTGTACAAACTCTAAACTATACTCGGGAAAAAAAAAACGCATATTTATCCGACTTTAAACGAATGAGATATGCATGTGTTAACGTTTTCACAAAACACAAAGTACAAAAAACAAATAGCTAAAAAGTTGAAAGTTTTCAAATTTGATATCCCGACTTCGGGGGAATGTAAGTCATTGAATATTAAACCAAAAATGACAAAATTATAGTCTAAAATCATGTACAAACTCTAAACTACAAATTTGAAAACTGTGTGTCAATTCGACTTCAAACGAAATAGATATGAATGTTTTAAAACTTTCACAGAATACAAAAAAGTTAAAAAACTAAAAACTTTCAGCTTTGATATATCGTCTTTGGGGACTGTAAATTAATGAATATAACACTAAAAATGACACATTTATAGTCTAAAATCATATATACAAACTCTAAATTACACGTTGAAAAAACTGTATGTTAATCCAAATTAAAACAAATAAGATATGCTTGTTTTAAACGTTTCACAGAAACCGGTTCTGGCCCTTAAAAGTGGTTTTGGTTCCTAACATCAGTTCTGGTTCTTAGACCCGATTTACCCGGACCCGATGGATCCAAACCCGAATTACCCGGAACTTGCATAAAGTAAATTTTTAAACCCGAAACCCAAACTGATTCTATATATTTCGGTTCTGGTCCAATTTTCCAGTTTTAATCTAATCTCATTCTAAATGTTAATCTTTAATTAGAACCGTTGGATTAGATTCACTTATTTATATTAGAGAAAATTACAAATATAGCAAAACCAATAATTACTTTGTAGAAAATAGTCAAAAAAAAACAATTACAAAAATAGCATGCAAAATCACAAATCACAGATGGACTAAGTCCATCTGCGATTTGACAAAGTCATTTGCGAACGTACAAGTTGTTAAAGCACATACATGCTTTAGCGACTTGTACGTTCGCAGATGGACTAGTCCATCTGCTATTTCACATTCCATCTGCGATTTCATCTTTTTCGCAGGCATAAAAACATAAATTTTTTTGTTTGTTTCATTTTTTACACTTTTCGTTGAAGAACTCTCTCTCTGGAAGCACTATGGACGATTTGACAAGACAAATATTAATTCATTTTATTAAAAAGATTTTAAACAAAATTTTCAAAGAAATTGTAACAAAAGTGATAATTTTTTGCAAGAATTTATATATAATATGGTTGTTTCATAGTTAAATCCTATCAATTTCGTAGAAAAAAAAAAAAAAAAACCGAAATCGCAGATTAACTTAGTTCATCTGCAATTTTAGTCACTTGTACCCCCTATTTATACCATAAAAAAAAAAAAAAAAAATCATCTGCGAACGTACAAATCGCTAAAGTACGGATGTGTTTTAGCGACTTATATGTACGCAGATTGCTTGGTGAAATCATAGATGGATTAATTATCTTGTTCGAGTTCACTTCTATTTTAGGATGATTTTGTTCTTTATTTATTTTATTTTTTTTTCGTAACTTGACGTCTTTCAATTAAATTATCCTTCAACTTTATTATAGTATAAATTATTTTTGAAGTATCATTTAATTCCATAACTTTATTAAAAAAATAAATAAAAGGTTTATTATTAACATTTTATAGCTTTTTAGAAAAGTTTGATGAAAAGATTTTATATTCAATAAGTTATGAGAGTTCTAAAAAAAAGTAATGAGATGCCCAACATCATATTAATTTATATATAAAATAAGTATTTATGATTTGGCTTTTTCTAGATCATAATAGAAAATATTTATGTTACAATTTAATTTAATTTATTATTATATTTTAATTTACTTTCAATTTTGGAAAACAACTCCATCTTCCCTTAAACCTTCAACTTCTGTTTCTTGGGGACGCAGATTTGATGATCTTTGGTGGTAGTGATAAACTCTTCAACAACATAATGTACAAAAAATATGAACATATTAAGTAAAAAATTTAAAATATAATAAAAAAAACTACATAATTAAATTTAATATTTAAATTTTACAAACATTTGAACTAAACAAAAAATTAAAAAAAATCCACTTGTAGACAATTCAATTTAATTATATTTAACCAGTTCGGACAACGAAAACCAAATAACCTGTTTCACGATATCAAAACCTAACTTTGTTACAGTCAGTGACAATTGTCACTCAGTGCAACAAAATTATGTCCAAATTTATCCATTTAATTTCAAAAAAAGTTTACGAATCTAATTTTTTTTTTTTTTTTTATTAAGATACATCTTTAAGAACCTTGGAGTAAAAGGCCCAACGTGGGCTTCTTTTATCAATGGCATTTTGACCAAATGGATGTTGCTCTACATACGTTTTTACATTTTCAGTGGTCCCCACACCTTCCAAATAAACTCTAAGATCTCCATTAGGACCTGCAACAAGTACAACTTTAAGCATTGTACTTTTTTTTATTTCAAAAATCTAACCAATTATATTCCTTATATTCTTGTACTTTAAAAAAAAAAATTATTAAATCATTAAACTTAAAAAAATTTACCTTGTATTATACTAGGTACATTTGAAGTGTTGTACTTTTTTTTATTTGAAAATTTTAATCATCATTATATTTGATAGAATTTTCAACATATAATGTTATAATAATTAAAAAAAAAAAAGTAAATTACACGAATGGTCACTATGGTTTAGGGTAATTTGTACGTTTGGTCCCTAACTTAATTATTTAACTTAGAAGGTTCCTATTGTTTGTTTTTGTTACACGTTTGGTCTCTATCTTACCTAAAATGACTATTTTGCCCTGGATTTTTTAATTTATTTAAACAAACACACTCCCAACCCCACCCCTCTCACCTTACCTTACCTATCTCATTATTTTTTCCTATTTAAATAATAGTCTTTTTAGGTAAACACAGGGACCAAGCATATAACAAAAACAAACAGTTGGGGACCTTCCGAGTTAAAAAGATAAGTTAGGGACCAAACGCGCAAATTACCCAAAACCATAGGGACCATTCATGTAATTTACTCTTAAAAGTATATATTGTTGTTTCTCACCTAAAGAGTTGTCATTTGTATCCTTGTAGGTGTAAGACAAGGGAAAGACTCCGGTATGCTTCTAAAACATAAACAACAGTAATTAAAAAAATCATAAATTTTTATTAAAAAAATGTTAAATTAAATAAAAGGGTGATTGACTTACGGGATTTAGTAACGCTTTATATGGAGAATCATCCAACAATAATGTATTTGATTCATCATAAAATTCAATTTTTTCCCAAATTTTCTTGACTTCCTTGAAAACTATTAACTTATGTCTGTTTTCAAGGCTCCTAGCACTTGAATTTGTGCAATGTGACAAATCCTGGAAGAATAAAAGTATAAATAAAGTGAATTGACTATATTGCCCTTGATAAAAATATAAGTAAAGAATACTTACCCAAAGAAACAACAACTTCTTCTTCAAATCTCCTAACAAATAATCAACCACAGGGTCTAGAACTTTCCTGTTTGTAATTCCATGAGTAATAAATCAAAGAGGAATAAAATCCATAAATTTAATGATATTAAATTATTATTTATTTATTAATACCTTGTTCTTGATGACCAAATCGCAACATCAAATCTTTGGAAGCAAAATCTTAAAAAGTCATCCAAAAAAGGTCTCTTGAATACTACAATATAAATAAAAAGGATAATAAATTAAATAACCATAAAAAGATTTTTTTTTAATCTTAATTGGTAATTAAAAAGTGGGAGAAAATGAAAATCTTACTTGCTCTTCTTGAAATATTTTTATCTGATTTGAGATCTTTTGGAGGGGGGGAAACGATATCCGCTAACAATCCATTTACATCAAGAATCAGAAGCTTTTTTGCTGATGTGGCAACATGGGTTTTCATGATTTGGATTCCATTAAGGTAGGAATAATCAATGAGGATTTGTATGCTACCAATGATGAGTTTTTCAGAAAGAGATTTAGTGATAAATGTATCCATTTGTGTAGGAAGATCTTGAATTGATGAAGTATTATCATTCAGATTCAAAATGACACATTTACCCTTTGCTTTTCGCCTTTTTCTCTTTCTTGATGCTTCATGACTTGCAGTGTTAGCAACATTGGTGAGTTGACTGAGTTCTGAGTACCTTTCTGCTTTTAGCACCATTGGTTGTATCTTCGAATTGTGAGATTATAATTTTTGCTGTATCTTCTTCTTCTTGTTCTTACCTCTGAAGATTTCCAGTAGCTTATCTTAAGAAACCTGATTCTAAACTTCCACCTCACTTTTGAATGTGATTCCCCTTTTTGTGATTTCTCAGCTTATTGTAGGCTGCATCAATTTCCATTGATTAAAAAGACTGACCAAATATTAAACAACAAAATCAATAGTAAGATGCGCACAAATGATAACTAAGAACCCTAATTTCACATTTCAACGATAATCAATCACAATATCATCGATCACAAAAATTCATCACCATCTGCATTTCTCCTTCCATTGCGATAACGATTCCGTTTATGTTGATTATCAAACAGAGTGATTTCAGCTACGAATCAGAGACGAATTTTAATAAAATTTCACCTTAGAACTTTACGATAACTTTACGCTCAATAGAAATCGACTGATGATAAACAAAATCGATGACAAAATCAAGCTAAAAACATAGTGTCGGAGTTGAAACGAATCAATTTTAACATCAATTTAAAATCTTAGCTTCTGCATGAACATGGAGTGGGATTTACAGCGATTTGTGTACCTAAAAATATACCTAACTAGCTCACACATCGGTCGGAGTGAAAATCATCGGAAAGACGGAAACGAATACGAAAAAGCGAAACAAAACATCACAAATTAACATCGGATAAACGAAAACATGAAACAAAACGATAATTATCGGCTATTTCGATGGAAATACAGAGATTGAAGGAATAGAATCCATACCTGTTGATGTGTAGATGCAAAAACTGTTCGTCTTCGTCAACCTTTGTAGTCTACGAACATATGTTTATAAAAAGTCTCGTTCGTGATACTACAAGTACAAGCCTAAAACAGCACGCTAAGTCGCTCAAGCTGGATTTATATACCCTCAACCCCGACACGCCCCCTACCAACTCATTTTGAAAAAGAAATATATAAATACAAGAGTAAATTACACGAAATGTCCCTATGGTTTGGATAATTTGTACTTCTTATTCCTAATTTATTTTTTAACGTAGAAGGTCCTATTGTTTGATTTTATTATGTGTTTGGTCCCTATTATTTGTTATTGTTACGCGTTTGATCACTATCTTACTTAAAAAGACTATTATTTAAATAAATAAAAAAGTTTGTGGAATATGTAAGATAGGGTGAGGGGATCGGAGTGAGGGTGGGGGTGGGGGTGTCTATTTAATTAAATTGAAAAATTAAAGGAAAAATAGTCTTTTTACATATGATAGGGACCAAGAGCGTAATAAAAACAAACAATAAAGACCTTTCGAGTTAAAAAAAATAAATTAAATACCACATACGTAAATTACCTTAAACTATAGGGACCATTCATGTAATTTACTCAAAAAGTAAAATAAACAATTTACACGAATGGTCCTTAAGGTTTTGTTTTTACCCTAAAGTAGTCCTTACGGAACTTTTTTCCTTCATATGGTACCTATGGAGCAAACCTTGCACACAAATGATCCTTATGGCTAACTTTGTTAACATACTCTGTTAAGTGTGTGTAAAATAACAAAAATGCCCTTTGCTTTTATTTATTTATTTATTTATAATATTTTATTAATTTAAAATTAAAAAGAAAAAAGTGAGGCCCTCTTCCTCCCCCCCCCCCTCTCTTTCTCTCTCTCTCTCTTTCTCTCTCTCTCTCTCTCTCATTAAAGCACCACCCAATTCATCTTCTCCGGCATGTCTCTCCCCCACCTTACATTGTCGCTCGCTGACATGCCACCTCCATCTTCTCCTCTCTCTTGAAATCTCACGAAAGGGAAGATCGTTAGATTCAGAAAAAAGTTCAGGGTTTTTGATTTGCAACAAAAAAATGCTTTAAATTTGGATCAAATGGATCCTTTTAAACCCTTTTAAACCCCAACCCTAACAAAATCGTTGATGGAGACACCGCCTTCCACCACCACCAATCCCTTTCCCAGACGCTAGACCAAAACAAAGCAAGAAGTCGAAGTATCACCTCCTCTAATGGGTTCAGATATGATGAGATTGAATTTCTTGTTCTTTCCGTCACTTAGCAATCCCGTCGAGGGCTCCTTTTATCAAAAAAGTTTTCGGCTAACCAGGAGCTGGCACCACCGCTTCTAATCTCCCATCCGATTGTTAAAGAAACCCACAAACCTCCCTTCCTTCGCTATTGTTACTGCTCGTTCCCTTCCATGGGGTTACACAACCTCGAACCTCCCCATTTCTCTATTTTGCTCCCCGATCAGATGAAGACGGAGACTTGTTCCCTTGGTTCTCAACCGGCGATGTTCTTGTTGATCTAATTCGTATCTTGGCAGGGTAATCCAGAGGGCATGTGCTTGTTTCTTGAAATTTCTTTTCCAAACTTCACCTGCAACTGTGATTGCAGCCATGGCGGATTTTGAACATTAAATTCCTTAAATTACAACATATCTGAGTCTTCGTTGGTTTGTTTATTATAGAAAATTTGTGTAAGTTTGTAGAAAGTTGTGTTTCATTCTTTGCTCTTATGAGTAAGTTTGTAGAAAATTTGTGTTTCATTCTTCAAATCTAAAGAATTATATATTCAAATCTGAATCTCTTTCAAAACATCTTCGTAATTAGGCCTTGTCATAATTTTCTTTTGCTTGTGCTCACCTATTAAATGATGGAGGTTTTTTGCTTCAGTACACAGTTGGGTTGTACGTTTGATGATGATAGTGGGATTGATTTCTTCACCAAAGCATGACCACTGCAAGAGAGAGAGAGGGGGAGAGATAGAGAGTGAGAGAGAGAGAGAGAGGACCATTTATGAGCATAAAACAAATGGTATTTTTGTTATTTAACCAAGCTTAACAGAATTTGTTAACAAAGTTAGTCAAATGAGCCTTTTGTGTGCAAGGTTTGCTCCGTAGGTACCATCTGAGGAAAAAAAGTTTCATAGAGACTACTTTAGGGGAAAAAACTAAACCTTAAGGACAATTCGTGTAGTTTGTTCTAAAATAAATGGTAATTTTTACATAATTTTTGTATGTTTTCGTTCAAAAACGAGTTACTTTTCACATCTTTTAAACACCTTTGTGGTAATTTTTCAATCCATTGTTATATATTTTTGTATATACTTTTTTAAATACATTGCAAAATTTGAATCATGATATAAGAGTTTGGTGGAAAAAAGTCAAGAAACATGAAATCAAATGGAATAAGATATAAAGGCTTCTTGAAAAAGTTAAGAGATCGGGCTTATGAACTTTAGGTGGATGAAATCAGTGATAGAAAGACATATTACACCAGCTAATAAGAATTAAAATGTTATTCTTCGCATTGATTAGTTTGATGAAAATCAGGTCCGGTCCAAACATATATGGGGCTAGGGGGGAAAAAAGGGCCCCTCTAAGACAAACATAATAAAGATTAAAAAATATCGATTATTTTTCACTATAGATGTGTTCAATTAGTAGTAACAAACAAGCTAAATTGTTTATCTTTTGAGGTAATTTGAATTTAAACCATATTTATGCTCTAGATATCATTTAGGTAATATTTTTCATATATATATATATATATATATATATATAACTCAAAAAATTTGGACCCCTGGAGACGTGGGCCACAGATGGTCGTCTGGGTTGCCCACCGTCTGGACCGATCCTGAGGAAAATGTGAACTTGCATTTGTGTTTCTTGGATGGATGGAGGACCAAGTTTCAAGTTGTTTGAACATGTTAAAAGCATCTCTAACCCTCTTTCATTTTCCATTTTGTTCCTTATTTTTTCCATATTATTCTCCAACCCTCTCCCATTTATCCCCTCATTTTGGAGGATATTAATAATAATACCTCAAATATAGTGTTATGCTATTCATTTCTTCTGAAATGTGGATGAACTTTGTGTTGTCGGTTTTAGTCCCTCTATTTATATATTTATACATTTCTAGTTTATTTTTACCAAATAATTATAATTTAAATATAATATTTAATACTTATAATATTTTGTTATATATTAAATTATATTAATTAATTATAAATATAAAGTTTGTATTTTTGTTCATCAAATTCATATAAAAAGTTAAATACATATTGAAATTTTAAAAAACGATAACGTATTTTACAAATGCTTATAAGTGTGTTATAAATATAATCTTATTTAATAATATTATTGTAATAGAAAAAATATAGATTATATATTTGTTAAAACCAAATTAATAGAAATGTGTGTTTTACAATGTATGTAAGTTGGAAGAATATAATATACTAGGAATATTTTTTTGGGGGTAAAAAATAAGATAAAAAATGGAGTTGAGTTTGAGATAAAACACTATTTACCCTATTTTTTACTCTATTCTTTAGGAAACAAATGAAAATGGGTTGGAGATGGTGTAATCTTGATGTTCAAGGGTAAAAATGATTGACTGATTGTGGTGAAATTTTTGGAGAAGATTGAAGACCAACTTTCCAACAGATATAACATGAAATATAAGAACAAAATTAAAAAGCTCGAAAAGCATTTTGAATCAAAGATTATTTTTACCTTTCATGAAATACATTTGTTTTTAATGATCAAACATTATGGTTTTATGAATCCATATTAATTCTATTCATTCGTATAACATTTCTCATTCCGACTTTCCAACACCGGGTAGGTGTCAAACTCTATACATCATCTCACCACTTAACATAGTCTTGCTTTTCATTAAGTACATAAGGGGGAGAAGCATGAAATGACAATCCCACCTACGGTTCTGTATTTGTAACGGATAACATACGAAAGCTTTGGAATATTTTATCGAACAACAGAATGAAACTTGACCTAAATAAATTATTAAATATCATATTTGTCATACCTTCTATATATATATATATATATATATATATATATATATATATATATATATATATATATATATATATATATATATATATATAATACATTATAAAACATATTTGATCGAATGTTGAATTCTAAGTCATACAAATATTATTGTGATATTTACAATCAATT